AAGAGTCCAAGAAAAAATACACTCTCAGCCCAGGTTGGCCCCAGCAGGCAGGGTCAGAAGCCCAACTCCTACTTAGTCTAAGATTGAGAGGGACAGACACAGAGAGAGTGAGAGAGAGAGAGACAGAGAGAGAGAGAGAGAGAGAGAGAGAGAGAGAGAGAGAGAGAGAGAGAGAGAGAGAGAGAGAGAGAGAGAGAGAGAGGGGGGGGAGAGATAGATAGATAGATAGATAGATAGAGAGAGAGATAGATAGAGAGAGAGAGAGAGAGAGAGAGGGGGGGGGGAGAATGTTTTACGGAAAAGGTTGTTTCAGCACGTGATACGTGTATTTACAAAGTTTTAAAGGTCCTGCCTTGTATGTATGGGTGGGTACACCTAACCTTTGTAATATCCACTGCCATTGTAAACAACCAAGACTATTTTATCCCTGCGAGATGAATAAAGAATGTCATTGCCATTGTCATTGTTGTTATTACATTGCGTTAATGGGGGCGTAAAAACACCTACACGATTTTAAAAATAATGTGCTATTGAAGCATTAAGTTGACAGAACATGTATTTCTACCCAGGCGCCAACGTTGGCGGGAAACTGCCCAGGGACAATGAGACAATGGACGTGTTTAAGGCCAACTACATACAGGTCAGTGGTTTACTTGGTCGCTGTCGTTCAAAGTTGACGTTTGTCAACATTTTGAAATAATGAACACCCCCCCCCCCCCCCAGGGCAGTGCCACTGACTGAAATGTCTTTAGGCCGTTCCAAAAGGGGGGTATTAACATGTTTTTATGCACAGTAGAATTGTAGCCTTAATAGGCTGATTTATCAATGTCATGCTCATACTGTGCCGGAACAACATAGGGGGAACTGCTGTGTTTTCTTTCATTATCCTTACTATCGTCGTTTTCACTCCATGTCTATTGTATGTAAATAAATGCCAACACTCTTTGTGACTTGACGAAGATTTTAATGATCAAGCACAATGAAGACATGCGTCAGACGATGCGTGACTGGGACAGAAACAGAACAGAAATAAAGCGGATGTAGTCTTTTCGCTACTGAATGATATTCCTCTACGCCCCCCCCCCCCAAGTATTGGAGTGGAACAGAAATACTGATGTATTGTCAAGGAATACTGGTGATATAACAAGGAACATAACGAAAGATAGGAACAATGGCAATGTCTGCTTGGACCTATGAAAAGAAACTAAGAAAGCAAATGATTGGTCGTTGAGTGTCAGGATCAGACTTGGATTTAGAGTTAATTGGCTTGGGGCTCTGTCTGGCCAATAGTCTTGCTGATCGCCGAGGGCCGCCATGAGGCGTGCTCACGCTTATGGGAATATCTTGCTCTTGTAGTCCAGGGACATTGTGCGGCTGGAGCGCACGTAGAGCACGCGGGTTGGCTTGAGCCTGAGATTGTAGAACCACCGTTTCGATAGCGGGGCATGAATCAGGTGCTGATTCTTGCCCAGATTCGGGAACAGTAGGCATCGGTGGATTGTGTGCTTGGGGGGGGGGGGTCCTGAACGCCAGCTGGTTGGGGTATATCCGGGCAAGGGGAGGCCGGCGAGGTCAAGCTGGGCTTGACATGCTCGGGGGTGTGACTATTTTGAGGCGCTGGCAGTGGTGGTGAGGTGCCACCTGGGATCATCGTCAGTGAGGAGCGCGGGACCACAGGCATATATTTGCGGAGGAACTTTCTGTTGCGAAGGGTAACGCGGCCAGATCCATCCACTCGAACGACGTACTGGTCGAATTGACGTACTTCCACCACAAGGCCCGTCTTCACCCATTTGGTCGGGTGGGCTCCAGGTTGGTTCTGTATGCGCACACAGTTACCGACGACAACTGGAGGTAAGATGCGAGTGTGTTCAGAGAAGCGCTCAGCGGTTTGCTTGTGCCGGTTCCTCAGTGCCTCCTCGTGACAGAAGGGTTTCATGCCAGGTACTGTGAAGCTGATACTTCCATTGGTGGATGGGAATGAAGTCCCGTACGGGACGTCCGAAGATACACGTCGTTGGGGATAGGTGAATGTCACGGTCAGGAGTGTTCCTGTATTGCAGCATTGCGCGCTGGAACTCGTCAGTGTTTAAAGATCCTTGTGCACCCTGTTGTCAGTGATCAACCATTTCACTGTCGTTACTCCAACTTCAGCGAGGCAATTAGAATGGGGAAAGGCGACTGAAGAGATCCTGTGGTGGACACCCCAGTTGCAAAGGAAGGTGGAGGTTGCCAGGGACGTGAACTCCTGGCCTTCGTCCGATGTCAGTTCATCACTGATGCCTTAGGTGACGAAGATGCGACGCAATGCAGCAACGAGGCCGGCAGATCCATGGGAGGCTTCAACGATAGGCCAGTTACTGTACTTGTCGACTGCAACTAGGTAGTTGTGGCCTCGATGATGGAAATAATCCGCCAAAATGCATTGGAACGGGTATGCCGGTGCTATTGGAGGGGTGGGAGGTGCACTCGGCTTGGAAGGTGCCATGCGGTTGCATGACTGACAGCTGGCCCGCACTACAGTGATGACCGGGGTCATACCGGTCCAGAAGAACGAGGCCTCAGCTTGGGAGCACATTTGGGACACACCCTGGTGAGCAGAGTGTAAGGACTGGAGGACTCGCTCACCGAGCGATTGGGGGAAGACTATCCGGTCGTGGTACAGGATGATACTATCAAATGTCGTGAGGAATTCCCGGAATTGATGGAATGGGCGGAGATCAGGGGACAGAGAAGCCTTGTCTTCAGGGAACCCATCCTCAATGGTGTTACTCAAAGCGGTCATTGTGGAGTCGCTGGCTGTTGCAAGTCGAATCTCGTCCCAGGTCACTGACTTGACCACCTCAGTTGGAGCGTGGTCAGGTTGGGAGCATATCTGGTTGGTGTCTTCCAGTTCCTGGGTGCAGATGGCAGAAAGAAAGTCGTGTGGCAGTTCAGGTGTCAAGGGAAGGTCATCAAGGAGCAGAACAGGAGCGGCACCATGAGGAAGCCTGAGAGTGTTAGGGCTGCCCACGGGTCTGTGGGAGACGGCATCTACTGCAGCATGGCGTAGACCAGGGATTAGGAGGTTCCTGAGGCAGGGATTGGGGGTATCGTCGAGAAACCGGTCCCCAAACATCTTCAAAAGAGGCTTGTGGTCCACCGCTACGATCAGGTCGGAACAACCCAAGATGAAATGACGTGTTAGTGCATCAACCACGGCCAGGCCAGGGCTTCACTTTCTATGGGCGCATAGCGGGACTCGGCTCGTGATGTGAATCGACTCCCGACCAGGGTAATCTTCCACCCAGTTTTGCAGCAAACTGGGTTTTCCGAAGGACATGTGCAATTTTTCTGGAACAGCCAGAAGCCTATGCCATCATTGCTCCGGTCTGTGGCTAGACAAGTTGGTTTATTCTTGTCAAATATTTCAACTCCTTGATGGGTTTCATTGATGATGGCCTCCTTTGACCATTCAAACAGACGGTCGAGCTCTTCTGTCCATTCGAAGCGTTTTCCCGGCTTCAGGGCTTCCCTGAATGGGAGCATGCGTTCAGCGGAAGAGAAGGTATAGGATACCTGATTGATGAGACCGAACTAGCTCCTGGCGTCGGTGATGTTCTGAGGTGTGGGGAAATGTCGAATGGCCTCCAGGTAGCGGGCACATGGGCGCACGGTGGAGGGAATTATTTCGAAACCTGCATACTCGATGGTAGTTTTGGCGAATTTTAATTTGGATGGGTTGAGTGTGATGCCATTGGTGCCACATAAGTCAAGCCACTTGACGGCCTGGAAAAAGGTTTCCTCAATGGAGTTTGACCTCATAAGGGTGTCGTCAATGCATTTGGTTTTGTGGGGGGAAGTCGGCAACGATCTCATCGAAGCGGCGGCTGTATCCATCCTTGGACGATATGTAGCCTTGAGGGGCCACGAGATAGCTGTAGCGACCCCATGGGGTGATAAACGTCGTCAAATGTCTATCCTCTTCAGCAAGAGTGATGCTATGGTAGCCATTCCACGCGTCAAAAACAAATTTCCTCGTTTGAGGTGGCAGTTTGCGGGCCTGGTGGAAGGGAGACCGAGTGTGCTGTGTCTCCTGCGTTGCCTGTCAGTTAAGGGGGGGGGGGGTTACACCTGAAGGCTATCTCGGTTATTACTGGAACGAATTTTGCCAAATTTCAAATATATAACAAGCATAGTAAGGAGTCTTAAAATCCGGAATCAAATTTGAGACAAGTTTCGTTTCCATGGATACGGCGGCCATATTGGATTTTGTTGACATGTCTTACGTAATGAATACTGCACTTATCGCTCATGGAAATTGATTGTTTTTTGCATGCGTGTTCACAAACATTAGATCTAAACGTTTTATTATTGTTTTTTCGTAAACGAATTAGGAAATTTTTAATGAATGTTTTCCTGAGGTAGCATTCAAATTTGCGAAAAATCCATGAAAATCCACACTCCAGACACCACCAACAAAAATCTATTTCATATATAAAAAATTCAACAGTCAAATTTTTGGTATTACCTCTTTTCTTCATTCTGTAAAAATTTAATGAAGATTGGAAGAAAAATAGTGGAGTTATTCAAAAAAGTATAGAGAAAAGTAGCGTTTTGAGAAAATGGCCGATAAAGAAAAATAAAATACTGACTTTATGATGAAATGGCTGTTACAAACATGCCCGGTATGGGGAAAAATACGGTTTTTGGTGGTTCTTATGCAATAAAATAGTTGTAGGAGAGGCTGAGGAAGCTACAAATGCCTACAACTCAAATTCCATAATTTTGAGCCGAATTTTGACTTTGGGGGTGTACCCCCCCCCCCTCCCCCTTAAGCGGTTGGAGGTCAAACGTGCGCCTTGGTTTACCCGACTTCTTCGGACAGATCACCATCTTGTGGCACCAGGCGACTGGGGCGCCGACAGGGACAGGCTCTATGACCCCCAGTCGCACATCGTGATTTAGGCCGGCTTTGACCTCGTCCGTCCAGCCAATGGACAGTGACCGGGATGGGGGTGTGGTTGGCCACGGGACGGGCGTCAGGGTCCACCATGAGGTGGATGGGTGGGCCAGATATCATTGGTAGTGGTTGATGTTCTCACACGTTGAATGTACTGGACCTGTATTGATCTAGGAGCCACTGCTCCAAGCCCTCTCTGTTCTCTTCTGTGGCAGGAAGCGGGAGGGAGGTTGTTAGTGCAGAGGTGGTTGGCGGTGTGAGCACCCGCAAGCCGGCTTGTCCTTCGAAGTGATGGCTGCACTGGTGGCGCCAATGGTCTGAAAGCTAGGAGGGATCATTATTAAAGCCACACAAGCTTGCTTGCTTAGGAACATCCGATCAGTGGATGTGGTGAAGTACACCATCTGGTGGGTCGCCAGCTTGATGTTGGACGGAGACGTACCAGAAATACGAAGGGGAAGGGCTCCGATGATGTCAATGGCCCCACGATTAGCGGATGTCATCTTCATGTTGACAGGGAGGAGGTGACGGCGAGTGAGGCTCATCCTAGTCAAGAGTGCTACGCCCGCCAAGCACGACTGGCACCCGGTGTCTGCCATAGCTTGGTACTTGACGGGAGAGGTGCTGTTTCTCAGAGGTGGCGGAAAGCCGAGAGATTGGGCATCGGAAGGCACTGCCTGGATGGTGACGTCCACCAAAGGTTGAGGGTCGGATGCTCGCTTCTCCCATGCCCTGCATACGTGATGATCTAGGGATACAGAGAGCGCATTAGACACCGGTGTGGCCGAATCTGCACCGCATAGACTGTCAAAGGCGGCAACAGAGTCATCCAGGGCATTGGTGGGGTTGTGGTTCCGTGACGATTGTCGGCAGACATTGGCGAAATGATTGGATAGGCCACACTCGGTGCATCTTTCACCAAATGCCGGACACTTCTTGATACGTTTCTGTCTACCATTCCCATGGTCCAGCTTGCCGCAGTAATTGCAGGGGAACGCTTGGCCCTTGCAGTGGTCAAATTCGCCCTGTGTGCCGATTTTCTTACTCTGCTTGTAGGGGCTTGTGGCCGCTGACGTGGTGCAGGAACAGCCTTCAACGAGGCGACTGGCTGACCTCTTGCCACTCTCTTTCGCCTCCACGTAGCAGAGTGCATCCTCAAGGGACATGTCCTGTTTTGACTCGCCTAAGATGTCGAGTCGGATCTCCTCATCAATCAGACCTCGAATGAGGACGTCACGAATCTTCACATCGCTATAGTCCACGCTGGGTTCGTGGGCATCTGGAGGGCACCTAGGGCATTTTATCTTGAAGTTGCAAACCTCGGCCTGGCCCCTGAGGCGGGCAGCGAAGGCTCTGACAGGCTCAGCCCGGTCTTGCTTCATTTGATGAAGCTGTACCCGTGCTACCATGATGTTTTCCTGGCGCACCGCCAGGCTCTTGATGTTCTTTAGGACAGTGTCCTCTTCGTCGGAGGCTAGGGTGCCGAATGTCTTTTTGAGGTCTTTCCATAGCGACTCATCGCAGCACTCGAGAAGCTGGAAGACGATGTCTGCACCTGTGAGGCGAGTCGCTTGTTTGTAGTCGGCCCACCGTTGGGTAAAGTATGACCACGCCTCGCTCGTTCCGGATGTGACACTTTCTCAGCCTTGGCTGCCGCAGTCGGTGTGTTCGCTCGTGCTGCATGGGCTGTGGTGGCGTGGATGTCATTGAGGCACGTCAGCACCTCGGTCGGCGTAGATGCAGCCCACTCCACCGCACAGCCTGGGGCAGGGCAGGAGATAGGGGTCACGATGTGTCTTTTATGTCTTCATAAATAAATACCAACACTCTTTGCGACTTGACGAGGACTTTAATGATTAGCCCAATGAAGACATATGTCAGACGATGCGTGACTGGAACAGAAACAGAACAGAAATAGAGCGGATGAATATGATTGGCAAATAAGGGAAAGAATAATAATGGACACAAAGAACAGATACGAATGATGGCACATGCGTGTAGTCTTGTCGCTACTGAATGATATTCCTCTAGTATGTTTGTCACACTCTTGTGAACTGATATTTCTGGGATGTCTTGATAGTTGAAGCAGACATTGTGCTGTTGAGGCTAGAGAGGTGAGCAGAGTAAGCCTGATTCCTCGTTTGGACTTCTCTGTTGATATTCACCCCTTGGCGTTTATATGACCTTATGCAGTTTGGAGCGCCATAAAATCTCACTAAAACAAACATAAAGAAAAAATGAACATCAAGTATGTTGTATAGTTTGATGAGTCGCAGGAACCTGTGTTTGTCTTATTTCTCTTCTTGAATTACGAACTGATTTTTAGACGATTCAAACATGTTGTATTAAGATAAAGTTCTGAGTGAAATAAAACAGATTATTTACTTCCTTTGTTTGACTGGAGCAGTACATTTATTTGTTGTTTTGCTGAGTTGTTGCAAACTACAGTTTGTCTGAAGCTTTAATACAGAGACACAAAAGTTCAACATTAAAATTATAGGACTAATAGAAGGCTTGGAGGGAGAGAGCCGATAGAGAATTAAATATTTAATTACATATTCTTCATTAGTCTTAGTTAGGACTGCTTTTAAAATGCGTTTGTTTGAGTCTTTTTAGGGCTACAACAAAAGTCATTTTTCTTGTTATTAATGTCTTAATCCTGGGATGTAATTGTTCTCACTCAGAATAAACCAAAACTTTGCACAACTTCAGACTCTGTAACAATTTTAACCGAATGTTGATACTTCAATGAATCTGAAGCTGTATCTGGATAAGTATTGACTTGGATAAGATTTATCTATTATAATATGTTTGTCTGTGTGTGTGCAGGGCTACAACTCTGTGCGGGAATACATCGCTGCCCAGGACCCCATGCCTTCTATTGTGCCAGACTTCTGGAGGATGGTGTGGGAACAAAAGTGTAAGGTTATCGTCATGCTCTCAGACCAAATGAAAGGTTGGAAGGTAAGTGTGTATAAAATATGAAAATAATAATCAACTAGCACCTGCATCATCATCATCCTCATCATCATCATCATCATCATCATCATCATCATCATCATCATCATCATCATCTTCATCACCATCGTTATACATTAGGAAACATAGTATGGAGACTTAGATGAGGTCTAGAAAAGAATGTGTGTGTGTGTGTGTGTGTGTGTGTGTGTGTGCATGTGCATGTATGTGCGTGTGTGTGTGTGTGTGTGTGTGTGTGTGTGTGTGTGTGTGTGTGTGTGCGCGCGTGTGTTAGGGATGAGGTTACCTTTATGTAGTAGGTTTCAAGTCTTTGAAATGTGGCTGATAAATGTTGAAGTCAGTGTGTATTTGGAGAGAGCCTATGTTCCACATCTGCGTGGATTCTCTAGGAATATGGTTTTGTTTGGTTGGGATTTGACCAAATCAATGCCCTCAAGCAACAGATCAATGGTACTATTGTGGTCAGGACCTTGGAAGTGGTGGTCAACTGACGGGCAAGGATTTTTCTGCTCACAGTTCCTGCAGTTGTTACACGAAGCTCTAGCTGTGTTGATAGTTCGACCCATATTTTTGGCTGAGAAGACTTTAGAAGTATATGTAATAAAATAGCATGGAAGTAATGCAGATTTTGGTTTAAGGGACCATGATCAATCAAAAACCTCACCAAACTCCTCAGAATACTTGATTTTTAAAAATGACATAGTACAGTATTAAATAATGTCAGGGATGATTTGACCTTCCCAAAGAATGTACCGGGTACACTTTTTGGAATAAAACAATGGTGGCCAAAGTAAAGTATAACGGCCATGCCTTCCCACATCAAGATGATCACAGCACACCGTTTCCTGTTCCTCTGTTAAACATAACTGCAACACCAATATGACCCACGTGATCATTGGTTTGTATACTAGGTCTTTTCGAGTACTTTCGAAATGGGAAAATAGGGATGGGGGTGCAACTTTACTTTAAGCTCGATTGTTGCTTTTAGTTATACACTATCAGTGACTTTGTGTCTCAGGCTACAGTGAGTTTATCTGGTCACAGTGCATGACCAGTTCATACCTTTCTCCACATCTGAAACCTTTCAGGGAAAAGGGGGATCGTACTGGCCTGAGACCCTCGGCGAATCTGTTGAGTATGGAGGTGTTGGGGTGAAGATGATTCATTTCTCTATGTTCAACAAATACATCATACGTAAATTCCAGATCTCCATGGTAAGTTACTTGTTTGTAGGTATGCACTGTGGTTTTTTGTTTCTTTTATATAGGTGTATTACGCCCCTATTGTCACAACTTAGATCATATATGAGGTGCGCTTCTGACTCTGTCTGTCAGGGCCAACTTGGGATGATATACTGTATAACACAGATAGCTTGAATTTATCGGAAACGGCCTTGGTAGTTAGAGGATTACGTGAACAGTGTTATAGCATCGGCTGTGTCAGAGAATCAAGGGAAACAACAAAGATTGGCTTGGAACACACATTTTTCTTTTTTCAGCCATTGTCCTATGTCAGATAGTTTAGGTCTATGCCAATTGACTTGAATTTGAAATTTGAGAAAACTTGAAAGACAACAAAAAACAAACAAACGGGACCGCAGGAACAGTTCTATGGATGCGTGATTTCGAGTAATCTGTGTCCGACCTATCCGAGTTAAACTGTAGGTAAAATTATATAGATTTATATGTATATTATACATACACACACACACACACACACACATATATATGTTATATATATTATTTATATATATATATATTATATGATATAATATGTTATATATATTATTTTTATATATAATATATATATATATATATTATAATATATATATATTATATATATATATATATATATATATATATATATATATATATATATATATATATATATATATATATATATATATATATATATATAAAAACAGGTGATGTGACATCATGTATTTATAAGGTCCCAGTGGTTGGTAAAGGCTACAGGGGTTGTATGCTCCTCGTTTTTTTCCTATACTATTCTGTTTCTTACAATAGTTATATTGCTGTTATTATGACCAGTGGCCACAAACTACTTCACACAAGATTTAGAAAGTTATTGAAGCTAAGTTTGTCTCTCTTTTATTTCTTGTCATAGCAAGAATAGTTTAAAAAATTGGGTACAGAGGTTATACAACTGAAAACCCTAGTGCAAGGAATTAAAACTCATTAATAATGCCTTCCTTAAAAGTTATTGTGAATTGAGACTAGTCCACGATTCCTTTTTCCTGACAGTGATGTGTCCATATAATAAATATTATATATTTCAGGGTTCAGACACACGCCAGCTGACCCACTTTACCCTGCAAGGCTGGACTGACGCCAAGGCCGACTTGACAATAGATGATGTGGTAGGCTTCGTCCAAATTGTGCGACAGGAAGCCACGCTTACGAATTTTTGGCCATTTGTCGTCCATTGCAGGTTGGTAGACGCTGTCTCACATGACTAAAACAGAAGCATGTTGGTCAATTAAGGAATCTACATACTTAATCCACATAATCAGATCGGATATGACTCTCGCATCTGTGTTGTAGCGCTTAAATACTTCACTGTCGCATGCAGGAGACCGCAGTTTAAATCCCAAATGGGGTGAAATTTGTATAGAGTATTTCGATCTTTCTGCAGGGATGTTTTATCCCCCTCAGCCCTGGTTGGCCCTGATAGAGGTTTCTCTATGCAGAGATTGTCTTTCTTTTTCATGAATACCCTATTCTATGTTATGAATATCCTGTTCTATGTTATGAATACCCTGTTCTATGTTATGAATACCCTCTCCTATGTTATGAATACCCTGCCCTATGTTACGATGTTCACAGCGCTGGTGTGGGTCACACTGGTACTTTTATCGCCCTGGACTATTTGACCCAGTACGTGGACAAGCACAGTCTAGATGAGAACATCGACGTGTTCAGCTACGTCATGAAGATGAGGGAGAACTGTCCCGGTATGGTGCAGACGGAGGTGAGGTTCACAGTCCAAACTTAGGTTAGGTTTAAGTATCCATCAAACTGATACCTTAAGCCTTAAGGTACATGTATCTAAGCTGCTCCTAAACAATTGCAAGAATGATACCGGAAGATCAAGAAGCATAACAAATCTAGCCAATTTTATACCTCCTATATCCACAAATAAGAGTGGCTATTTCTCACATATCATCTGCTTGTGTTCAACTACTTGTCTTCCAAATTCCTCTGTCCTGCATTAATAGAGCAAACTGCATCTGCAGTTCACCAGCTTTTTTCCTCTGAACGTTTTCTCCATACACATCGACGAGTTCCCTGACAAATCCCCCTCTTTGACATCTCCGCCATAAGGGTCGCCTTATCAGATGTGACGTCCCAAATGCATAAGTTTTGTCGTGCATGTACAACCTTTACTTCTGCAACTTCGAATAGAGAGCATTGCCTTTTTCACACCAGATAATAAAGAGGGTTATTTCATTTTCAGTCATGCCCATTTTCACAAAACTTTTCTTACAGGCCTTCGATAATCACAGGCGGGATACTTTTCCAGGCAAAACAGAGTTAATAGTTATATTTTGATCTGACTGACAACCTTGATTTTATTTTCAGACTCAGTACATTTTCATCTTTGATGCACTGATGGAAGGGATACAGAAAAAGATAACTGAGCAACAGGAGAAGGTCTATGACTATATTGAAGAGAGTGAAGAGGACATTAACGAGACCCCTCCCCGGGAGGAAGACCCAGATTATTATTTAACCATGTAGGTCTTCTTGGATATATTATTCGTTACGCTCATAAGAGAAATGCGTAAGTCATTTGTAGCCACTTTGAGAAAATGGGAAAAAAACTGTTTCTTTCAATCAATTGACTCTGTCAAACGTCTAAATTTTGATCCTCTTAATTGTTTTAATATTTGGATTATTCTTTTGTCCAAATGAACTAAGTTACCAAGCTGACTCTGCTCTTCATTTCAGAGCCTAAAACTCCAAACCGGCCAAAACTGAACTAGCCAATTATCTTATGAGCGTAAGAATACATTCCATTTTGCCAATAACAACGCATCTTTTGCTGGATGAACAGGTTTTGTGGATGCTTTGTGAGCACTCTTGTCTTCTCCTCTCCTTGCACTTCTTTCCACTCTGTTTTATCTCCTGGTCGAACATTTCAGAAACTGCAGCAAACCTGCACTTATCACTACATCGCTTAGGACAGAAGGGCGAGAGCCTAGCTGTTTCTGGATCGATATCATCATCAAAAACAACAACAACAACAACAACAACAAAAACAACAACAACAACAATATCTCTTGGTCTGTCCCATCCAAGATGGAGCCGCTATTGCCTTGGCTTGCCATAAGCTCTAACTTGCTACTTGATGACATAGCCAGGAGACTGTGAAAGTCCTTTCTTCTCCACTCAGTTTTCTTCCACTAAGTATAACTTCTTCATTTAAGTAAGGGAGAAAGGCGAATGAACACAACTAGTTGATAGGCTGTCAGAGAGCTTGGAACGATTTTTCTTCAAAAGTAAAATGTCGAGAAACATTTTGGCAAGCTGTGTTTTATATGTCAATTTTGATAGAATAAAGAAAGTGATATTTCTTACTTTCAGCTTTGAGTATTGGTGACTGACAGGTTTTTTTGTGTAATATTCAGTATATAGCCTTGTAAGCTACCCAAGATAACTATTTTATTTACGAGTAGTTAAATTGAGGTCTACACATACCGTACTGAATCAAGTAAAACACTGAAGATCCAGCTCAGGAGAAAAGCAAAATATGTGGGTAGATAATGAACAGCTTACAGCTCTTAATTTTACTTGCCTTCGCTTCTGCCTCCAGTTGTCTCCTAATCCTCAGCAATCCAATGGGTGTTGGCTAATTCATCCCCTGAGCTCCCATTTCTTCACACCGACTACTTCTTGACATGTTGAAGTAAAGACTTATCACTGAGATATAAGGTACTCGTATTTCAACGATGGGTGTTTTTTAATAGTAGAGGTTTTACGGCGCTTGCAACTGCATAAGGTCATATGAGCGCCAAGGGGTGGTTGTCAACAGAGAAGTCTTTACAGGGAATAAGGCTTACTCTGCTCACCTCTCTAGCTTCAACAGCACAAAGTCTGTTTCGACTTTCAAGGCACCCCGGAAATAGCGGGTCACAAGAGTGTGACAAACATACAAAAAAGTAGAGGAAAATGACGAAAGTAAAGATGAGGAAAGAAAAAGCAGCAGTTCCCGGTTATGAGCGTGACATTGTTGAATCAGCCCATTTACAATTCTACTGTTCATAATAACGAGAAATGCCCCCCCCCCCCTTTGGGAATGGCCTAAAGACACTTCAGTCAGTGGCACCACCCCCAGGGGGGGGGGGAGATGGGTATTTGATATGTGTGTGCTAGACAAGGAGCAAATACACGTACAGTGTTCCCTGAAGATCTAGTTCTAGAGGTTTCCAGAAAAGTGACCAAGTATAGTCACACCTGCTCTATTGCTGGGTGCCCATTGCGGATGGGATCGGGTCAGGTTGGGTCGGGTCGACCACCCAACTGGTCGCCTGAATACAAACATGAATGTTTTTGAGGCAACGAATCAGGCGATCTGTTTGCGCCACAATTGCCGCTTTGTGCCCTCAATCTGACTAGCAAACCGACCTGACCCAGCCAGTAGTGCCAATGGGCCCCCGGTGTTATGGCCACTTGTATGTAATGTATGATAATCACCTGTACAACCTCCCTCCCCCCTCATTTGTATTTTTTAACATGATAATGACACTGAGTAAGACATCCACCAGTCTAAGTCGTCCACTTTTGTCCTCTACAATGGATAGCCGTCTTAGACAATTTCAACTGGATAAATAATTATTTTTAGATATTACGTTTTAAAAATGAACACCTAAATTATGAAACTTCAACACATGCTTTTCTGTTTAAAGAACTCCATCCTACTGATCTTTTCATTTGTGTCCCTTTATGGTCTTGTGCCCGTCAACAGGAAATGTACACCTAGTGACCGACTAGAACAGTTGTCAGTTATGGCTATCTGGGTCTTTCTCTAGATAAAACTGAGAATATTTTATATTTTATTTTTCTAAACAATTGGAAATCCACACCGCATCGTTATGAAACTGTTTACATTTTAAATAACTAATGAAGAGGGTTTTTTCTTTCTTTGAAACCTCAATTACCTACATCCAACATAAAAAATGTGGGTGGTTGGTGTCTGCTCTGGTGTGGTTGCTCCTTCTTTCCTATCTATCATCTGTCGTCCTTATCTCTCCTCCTTCTTTTCTATGTTACTCTCCTGTAACACATCTATCCTTCAGCACTGATATGACCTTATTGTATTGTAAGGGCTGTAAAACACTTACTAAAACTAAAACTTTAAAAAACAATTTTTTGTCAACTCTTTCTTACATTCTGCAATTGTACTAATAGAACACAGTGTTATCCCTCAGGAAGTGAATTTCAGCACACCAAATTCATGATATTTTCTTTGTTGCAGTTTAACTTGCCAAGATCTCATGCTCTAAGTCTCAAATTGTGTTTTTTGTGAACGTTTTTTTTTCTTTGCTTTTGTTCTTCAGAATCTGAGTATCAAAATGTGGAAGTGATCAATGACCAAAAAGAAACTCCAATGACTGTCCGGTAAAGATCTCAACGCACCGAACGACCTGCTCTCTCCACTCAACTGCTCAACTTCGCCGCAAGCCTTTCCTGTTGGTCCACAGCCCTGTCCTGTTGGAAGAAACTGTGACCTTTTTTTCTGCAGCAAACCATCTTTAGTGCCTTATGCATAATACATTTGCCTTAAATATCTTTATCGTCTTCTTCCACTTTGTCGTCGGTTTTCAGCACAGTCAAGTTGGGCGCTCCGTTAGCTCAGTTGGTATAATGCTGGGCTATGGAGTGTGCTGCCCTGGTTCAAATCCTAGGCTGAGTGAGCACTCTTGGACATTGATCATTTTGTGGAGATTTTCAGGCTCTCAACCCATTTGGCTCGGTCCTATCGAAGACGGACGTGAAATTCAGAGGCCACGCCTCTTAAATAACCCATACACTTTCACACACGCACACACACACACA